CTCTGACAGCCTTCTTCTGGTTCAGCCAAAATACAGTCTAAATACCTTTTGCTCACAACCAGAAACTAATCACGTGTTGAATAGGCTTGCTACTTCCATTTCATAACATAAAATATAGGGGTAACCACGCGTTTTTTAAAGTTATTGATCTTTCTTGAAAAGTTTTACGCTGCCCGTAACATTTTTTCCTGTCACCTCCCTAGTAAGTAAAACAATTGCGTATCTCATACTTGTTTCGCGCGCATGTGCAGGTACATGTTTACCATGGATAGTAGAAATTACTATCCATGATGTTTACAATTGGATTTCAGTATAATTTTCGACAGATAACGGCTAGTTTTTTAGCTGGAAGACGTTAACAGTTCGTGGTTAGCGATACGCTACTAATCTGGTATTCCTGGTTTAAGTACAGGTTCATTAAGGTTCATTTGGCAGGGACGCCGCCCCTCTTCATTTGGTCACAGTAGGAAAACTTTGCTTTCATTTTAGTCGTGTACTTGGTAGCGTAGTTGATTGCGTCACTGTCAACCCAGCGCGCGCGTGGCACTTAAACTATGCTTGCGTGATGCGCAGAACCTGTGCGCACTAACAAAAGTAGGCACCGTCCTTAAGTCTTTTGTTTAGCGACGTTCCCGTTGCCGTTGCCGTCGTGGTTTTCTTAAACTCCCTAACTAAAACTACGGCTGCATACGTGAACGCAAATGAACAATCGCGTCTCTGTTTTTATGTTTTAGTCCGTTATTCTCTTTGTTCAGCTCTGAAATTACACTAAAACAATTATGCGGCTCAGTGAACATTCATTTCGCCTTCAGCGAATAATTGTTAAATATTATACGTTTGGACTTCGGATTGTGTTCATTATAACGAGGATTTCGTTACATCGAGGTTCTGTTCCATACATTTATTATGACTTTGGTCGAGCTGAAGAATATCATCGTTTGTTACAATCCATCAAATATTTTCGCTCGCGCGCAATTTGCCTAAACGCGTTAAGTGACCGAAAACTGGGGAATATTCGCGTGATATCCCCAATTTTCAAAACTGCGCGTGTTGCGAGAAATATTTGAAGTATAATAAACACAATAGCAGTCTATAGCCTCCATTTGGCGCGGAAATATATGTATGTTATTTGCTGGCTGGGAGGTCCGTATGGTGAAAAACTGTGACCGAGGTCTTGAAAATGCTGGCCGAGGCCGCAGGCCTCGCGCAGCATTTTCAAGCACGAGGTCACAGTTTTTCACTATACGGACCGACCCTAAGCCGGCAAATAACATGCTTGTTTTTTTTCCTTCAGTAAATTGATTTTACAGATTACAAATGGGTTTGTTTACGCAGCTCTTGTCATTGAATCGGCTTGCGCGCCGTCTACTAACGATTTGCCAAAAATCTTGGCAACGAGCGAGTAACTCGGATAGTAGACAAAGAAAGGTGTATTACTGAAAGAACAGATTTTTTTCCTAACTACTTTATGTTAGTTGCATTTATTTCACAAGTTAAGTTCTCCAAAGTTGTTTTTGCAGTGTGAAATTTCATGTGAAGTTTGAAGTTTTACTACAAAAACAATTTCTGTCAGTCGTTGCTTTTAAAAT